TAAGCAATGCCACTGCAAATGCTGAAAATATTGCTGAAATTCAGTTGTACCAAAAAAAACATTTGGACACTGAAGCCACATTTGAAAAATTATGAACGGCATTGCTTTTGTTTCAAAATATCAAACTGGTATTTATATAAATTAGCATAAACACTTTTTTTTCAGCAAAACATTTCTCAAAAAGAAGCTTATTAGGTTTCAAATTATAAAAAAGAGATTTGTATTACTCAAAATGAAGACAAAAATATTGTGAAACTTGTCAAATATTAATTGAACAGGTCATAGTTGATGTGACACGTGAGAACTTGAAGAAAAATGACTTCACACAGAAATTAAAAATCACCTTGACATCAATTGGTTAAAAGTCACTGTAAAAAGTGGTTTAGAAAAGTAAAGTTAGTTCTGAGAAAAGTCAGCACTTGCTTGCAAATGCCACTTGGTTTGATAGTTTGATTTCTAATGCAATGACATTCAGAAATCTTAACACACACACACACACACACACACACAATAAAGACAAAAGTATGGAGAGTCTTAAACTTCACCGTTCTCACTAACTCCCGTGGGCTTGTTTTTGTCAACCTCTCGCTTTCTGGAAAACACATAAGGACTAGGGTTGGGTATCGTTTGGTTTTTTTTAGATACCGGTGCTTAATCGATACTTTTAAAACGGTTCCGGTGCCTAACCGATACGTATTAATAAATAAATAAATAAAAATTCCCAAAAAAACGATGGATTAGCACTATAAACGCATGATGTCTGTTTCATTCATACTGGACACCAGAGGGCGCCCTCGCACAGAAAATCCACATATCCAGTCACAGAAGTAGCGGAACTCATGACCCTCCAGGAAATCCCTTATGTGGACAAAGGCATCACTATTATAGCTGTAAATAAGTAAACAGAATATATAAACATTTTGAATGATAAAACAAAGACAATAAACACTCGACTGCGGCAAAATAGTTTATCTGCGTTATTCAAGCCATCTCTGGTATTTTCATAACAATTAAGTATATATTTATAATTCATTGCTAATCGATGTGTTCTTTTTAAAATAGCCTATGGAATATATTTTCTGCCTCATTCAGTGACAAGAAAACCACATCAGATTACAAAAGGAAGCATTTGACTGGTGTTGTGGAGTAAAAAGGTTATAATGTTCTCTTTTGTTGGACAACAGGTTTATAAATTTGAAGTTTAGCTTTAGGCATTTTAATTTAAGCATGTTTAGCTTAGTTAACGGAAGGCTACCTGCTGCCATCAGAGCAAGTGTAATTACTGCATTCACGCGCTCCTCGAATGCTCTCATTTCCCGAGTTCTGCTTTTAAGTCGGAATGTGAAAACAACATGGACACTCTCGTTACTACAAATATTTGTATTATTAGAGCTTTACGACTTGAGTTCACGTGCATTTTCTCAGTCTGGAAATTATTTTTTACGTGCAGTGCCGGTGATGATGCTTCTTACGTCCTTTTTGGAGAACCAGAGGATAAATATTTCAATCGATCGCTCGGGCATGGCACCGAAATCTGCGTTCTGATTCGGTTCTAGTACATACCGGTTACATAGGTACCGGTGCCATATTGGTATCAGGTTTCGGTACGCAACCCTAATAAGGACATGCCAGACGCCAACTCATGACATCACATTTTTGCTGATGTGTTCCAATAATATATAGTTCTATTAATCTCCCTTAGATTAACTCGCAATCGATGCAGAATATCTGCAAAAGAAATAGTTCACAAAATGAATGAATAAACAAACAAACTCTACCCTCTCAGGAAAAAAAGGTACAAAAGCTGTCTCTGGGGCAATACCATTTCAAAAGGTACTAATAGATACTAATATGTATGCTTTTTAGGTAATAATATCTACCTTAAATTCAGCTGAAAATGAAAGCTGAAAGTGTGCCCCCTTTAACAGTTTCATCATTAAAACTTCACAGCTCACATTAAGTCCCACAGGCTTTATTTTGACAACTTCTCAGAAAACACACGAGGAAATGACACACACCAGACCTGACGTCACAACACTAATGCCTTCCTGTAATAGCTGTTTTCAAGGATGTAATCACATTTGTCATGACGGGAGGAATCAAATGTAATCATTTTAAAACGAATCACAGAAAAACCCTTAACAGCTGAGCACCGTTCTGAATATTGGAGGAGACACGTCCTACACAACGTCAGTTGGGGTTAAGGCTCTTGCCATGTCTGACTTCCTTTAGATTCCATCACGCTCAGTTCAGTGAAATTTGGATGCCATCATTGTGTTTTGGATGCTGTTTTGTTGTCCCAGTAACCTTGTATCTGAGTTGTAATGAGACTGTGATGTAAACTCATCTCTTGGCAGTGCCACATGGGCCATTGGTGAACATTTATCACTCTCTGGCCTGCTCTGTCCAATCCTGCACCGGCCCAGATTGTGCCTAAAGATAGGAGTGTCCAGAACCCCAGAGATCGGCTCTCTCTCGCCCTATCTCTCCTTTTCACACACTCCCACAGACACACACACAGTGAGAGGTAGATAGGCCAGGCTGGCAGCCAGTATGTGGTGGAAGAGAGCAGTTCAGAGAGCTGGACCGAACCATCATCTGGCCAGAGCCAAGCAGCCACAGCTACAGTCATCAGCGCACATGTGTGCATGTGCGAATGTTTATTTATGCATGTGCGAGACACTTTTCTCAAATACCTCCATATCCACGCTCTCTCCGAACGGCAGACGTGGCGCCAAAATTAGCCGCAAACTGTAACAGACAAGAACAGGATGAAACTCAAAGAAGATTTGCTTGCGAAATCACTCGGTTGCTTTTAAGTGCCACTTAGATGTTTTTCAGTTTATTGCATTTAGAGACCGCACTTCTATTTTGGTTATCTTTTTACAGTTCCATATTTTTATGACTTCCAGCTTACATGTCTGAAGCTTTTCTGTAAATGTACTTGGCTCACAGACGTGGATCTAAGAAAACCAGCCTTATCGCTTCGGATTTGATTAGACTCTTTTTGCAAAGTTCCCAGAAAGCCTGTATTTAAATTCACCAGGTCTTGCAAATTGAATCACAAGATGTTTGAAGTGAAAAACCTGAAAGCACACTTTTGAAAATTAAAAGCACACTGCGTTCCATTTATCTGGAATGGAAATGTTGCATGCTTCATTAGCAGATTTTTGCACTTGTTTCTTTGGCAGATGTATGTCCACTGGATTGGAGCCAAAATTTTGAGAAGTGTATGCTACAAACCAAGTGTAAAATATCCCTTAATCATTAATTCTAAGAAAATAGTTCTTAATATCTAAAAACATCTATTTTTATTCAGTGTTGTTGTCGGACTTGTTTTCAAAAAGCATATCTTGTAAAGAGCAGCAGTGTTACAAACACATTTTTTAAATGCATCAACAATCACACAACTGACATTTTGAAAACTGCAAAGCTAGCTTCACCCAGTTAAAGTTCAGGTCTATCTGGCATCTAGAGAGTCAACAAGGTGTTTTTATATTAGTCCTTGTGATACAAAAGCAATGTGGTCCTTTTTCGTTTGGTCTCTAAAGAACACTTGAGCTAAATGTATTGAATCGTAAAGCTTCTGGGAAGGAGAAAGCTCAAGGAAGTGACTCACCTGTTCGCAAAGGAACTGCTCAAATATGTCAATATCTTTTGATATGTGGCTTTCTCAGTTGACCTTAAGGTTTATCTGAATTACACTTTAACAATGGATTTAATTCACGACATGAGTTTATCTGTGGCTAAACTGGCTCGATAGGGGCAGGATGCTTTATCAATACATTTTATGTTTCGTCTTTCATAATTCATGGTCTCGCTACTATAATAGAATTCCATCAATACACAATTGAAAGGCTGTCAGGTCTGTGATATTCCTTTTTCAGAACCAATCAACACTCCAGCATCATAAACATGAGCTTGTGTGCATTATTCATACAAGACAAAAAAGCAATGCAGAAAATAATAAGGAAAATGTCGATCTGAAAATCAAAGCTCAGCTCTCATGGGACTCTAAATTATTGCAGTGGAAAAGCAAAACGTAATTGCTAATCTAATATCCATGGAAATCACCCCTCATACTCTCTGGCCTGGCTGTGTTGCGTCACTGAATCGGAAAGGTCAAACCCACAACACACCCTGCATAGACTAACCTCAGTGACCTTCAGAAATGGATATGCTTGTGTTGTAATTGGATTACTTTTATACAATAGCAAGAAAATGAACAAGCCAGAGTTAGCCATTGAAGGATTGGAGTTAGTTTATATGAGAGTGTCAGCTTGAAGTTCATTTTGAAATATTCATAGCATCATACAGATTTGCAGAAGGAATGTTTTACCACAATGCAAATCCATTGCTAATACTCACTGGTGCTTGTGTTGTTGGTTTCCCTCCAAAATGATGTCACTTCCTGTAGGATGATATCACAAAGGAACTGGATTGAACACAATGGAAAGTGATATATATATATTTTTTTTTATGTTTCAATAAGAGAAAGAAAAAACATGCAACAAACATCTGGAGTATTTCATAGTACATTTCCTTTTTTTTATTTTAGCAAACAAAAAACAAAACAAAAAGTGACATGGAACTAATATAATTATAATAATATAATTATTATATTGTCATAAAATAAACTAATACAGTTTCAATTTTGAATAATTTTTTTGTATTTCACTATATTTGATGGGGACATGCAAATGTAGGCACACTATACAGTATGATGTACGTCTCTTTACTAACTGCTGTTATGCCTGAGCCACAGTTTTTGAGTTGGAGGAATGATAGATTGGCCCGGGTTGTCAGCCAGCCAAAAATATCGCGGCGAATCACGCACAAGACACCGGGACAGAAGCCGTGGATTTTTTTCTGACTTAGGACTGAGAGGGGAATGATCTGATCGCATTCGTACTTGACTCTTTTTTTCTCTGACGGGATAGTTTATGTTGATATTCGAGCAGAACAGGTGTGTTTCATAAGGGCTCCTCCGGTAATGCGGAATGACGGTACGGGACCGTTAGTGCGCGCGTTGATCACCTGATTCATCTCCAAAGGACTTGAACATCTCCCATATGAACTCTGCCACTGCGGCTACCAGTAATCTGGTTTACCGACTTGTGTCGAAAGCAGGTGACACCCCACTACTTAGAGTGATGAGCAATACAGGAGAAATATTTACCACCTCCAATCGTATCGACAGGGAGAAACTCTGTCCAGGCCCCTCTTTTGAAGACAGCGAGTGTTCCTTTGAAATTGAGGTGGTCATTTTGCCCAATGACTATTTCAGATTAATCAAAATTAAAATCATTGTCAAAGACACCAATGACAATGCCCCCATGTTCCCCTCGCCTGTGATCAACATTTCAATTCCGGAAAACACACTCATCAACAGCCGCTTTGCTATTCCCTCTGCCACTGATCCAGATACCGGACCCAACAGCGTACACAAATACGAGCTGTTGAACGGGCAGAGCGCCTTCGGTTTGGATATTGTGGAGACACCAGAGGGTGAGAAATGGCCTCAGCTTATCGTTCAGCAGAATTTAGATAGAGAACAGAAAGATACTTATGTGATGAAAGTCAAAGTGGAGGATGGGGGGAACCCACAGAAATCCAGCACTGCCATTCTACAGGTGACTGTCACTGATGTTAATGATAACCGGCCTGTCTTCAAAGAAAGCCAAATCGAGGTCCACATCCCAGAAAATTCTCCCGTCGGCACATCTGTAGTTCAGCTGCAAGCCACTGATGCAGACGTGGGTGCCAATGCAGAAATAAAGTACATGTTTGGGGCCCAGGTGTCTCCAGCGACACGGAGACTTTTTGCTCTGAACTCCACCACTGGGCTCATAACAGTTCAAAGGCCGCTTGATAGAGAGGAGACCGCCATTCATAAACTCACAGTACTAGCCAGCGATGGAAGCTCGAGTCCAGCAAGAGCCACCATCACTATCAATGTGACTGATGTGAATGACAATGCTCCAAACATTGACCTGAGATACATCATCAGTCCAACTAATGGTACTGTAATGCTTTCTGAAAAAGATCCAATTAACACCAAGATTGCCCTCATTACTGTATCTGACAAAGACACAGACGTCAACGGCAAGGTGATTTGCTTCATTGAAAAAGATGTTCCATTTCACCTCAAAGCAGTTTATGATAACCAGTATTTGTTAGAAACATCTGCACTGCTTGATTATGAAGGAACCAAGGAGTATATCTTCAAGATTGTTGCTTCTGACTCTGGAAAACCTAGTCTGAACCAGACCGCCCTGGTTAGAGTACGGCTGGAGGATGAGAATGACAATCCACCCATTTTCACCCAGCCTGTCATTGAGCTGGCTGTCATGGAGAACAACCAACGTGACATGTTCCTGACAACCATCAGTGCCACAGATGAGGACAGTGGACGGAATGCAGAGATTGTCTACCAGCTTGGACCCAACGCATCATTTTTTGATCTTGACCGCAAAACAGGAGTGCTAACCGCATCCAGGGTGTTTGATAGGGAGGAACAAGAGCGGTTCCTCTTTACGGTCACCGCTAGGGACAATGGCACCAGGGCTCTGCAGAATCAAGCTGCAGTCATAGTGACCATACTGGACGAGAATGACAATAGCCCTAAATTTACACACAACCACTTTCAATTCTTTGTGTCAGAGAATCTGCCTAAATATAGTACAGTTGGAGTAATCACAGTCACAGATGCAGATGCTGGTGAGAATGCCGTGGTGAGACTCTCAATCCTTAACGATAATGAGAACTTCATCCTTGACCCAGATTCTGGAGTCATAAAGTCCAATGTATCCTTTGACCGAGAGCAGCAAAGCTCCTACACCTTTGACGTCAGAGCTGTGGACAATGGAAGCCCTCCATGTTCGTCAGCTGCCAAGGTGACCATCAATGTCATTGATGTCAATGATAACCCCCCCATCGTCATCTACCCACCATCAAACACCTCTTTCAAACTAGTGCCACTGTCTGCGATTCCGGGATCGGTTGTGGCCGAGGTGTTTGCAGTAGATGGCGATACAGGTATGAATGCAGAGCTCAAGTACACTATTGTGAGTGGCAACACAAGAAGTCTTTTCAGAATTGACCCCGTAACAGGAAACATCACGTTAGAGGAGAAACCCACTGTGGCAGACATTGGCCTCCACAGGCTGGTGGTCAACATCAGTGACCTAGGCTATCCAAAGTCCCTGCACACTCTTGTCCTAGTTTTCCTGTACGTAAACGACACGGTTGGAAATTCCTCATACATACATGACCTCATCCGTCGGACAATGGAAACGCCACTGGATAGGAACATTGGCGAGAGCAGTGAGACTTATCAGAATGTTGACAACCTAAAAACCATCATTGCCATTGTGACAGGCGCTATGGTAGTGATTGTGGTCATCTTCATAACAGTTCTGGTGCGCTGCCGAAACGCCTCACAGTTCAAGGCGGCTCAGAGAAAGAAGCAGGGTACCGAGTGGATGTCCCCCAACCAGGAGAACAAGCAAAACAAGAAAAAGAAGCGCAAAAAGAGGAAGTCGCCAAAGAGCTCCCTCTTGAACTTTGTCACCATCGAGGAGAACAAACCCGACGACTCTGCCCACGAACCCATAAACGGAACCATCAGTCTCCCGGCTGAGCTCGAGGAGCCCGGGATTGGACGCTTTGATTGGAATGCCACCCCTACTACCACCTTCAAGCCCAGCAGCCCAGACTTGGCCCGGCACTACAAGTCCGCTTCACCCCAGTCGGCCTTCCACCTCAAAGCTGACACTCCGGTGTCTGTGAAAAAGCATCATGTGATACAGGAGCTGCCACTGGACAATACCTTTGTTGGGGGCTGTGACACGCTTTCCAAACGTTCCTCCACCAGCTCCGATCACTTCAGTGCCTCAGAATGCAGTTCACAAGGAGGCTTCAAGTCAAAGGGGGCACCTTTGCACACCAGACAGGTAAAAGAACACTTTTACTGGTCTATAAGTACTGCTTATAACTGCCCTGCTCAGTACTGAAGTGCCTGTGGTAGCTAACTTGCTCTGAGTGATACATCTGTGATGCACTATGTAAAATGTAGAATTCAAAAAGCCCCCCATAGATGTTCTTATATAATGACCAAAAAAGTCGTAAATATTGTATGTGTTTTATATGAAACTAGCAGACCCAGGCGAATTACTATTTTCATCATCTTACCACATGCATTTCTGTGTTTTTTTGTTTTAGTTTTTTTTTTATTTATAAACCTCTGATGAGTAACCACTCAAGTTCAATCTTGTTCTTATTTGTCTGCATTTGTTAATTAGCATTCTCTATGATACCAGTTTCTTAATTAATCTTGAACTGCAGTTAATCTACTAATAGAGAAAATGTGCGCACACAAAATTAAACATTATCTCCTGGTTCATTAAATCCAATGGTATCCAAATACTAAACCAATAAACTGTCTCAGACATTTAGTATAGAACTGTGTTCTCTTTCGGTAGCTGTACATATTTCTCAAAGACAATTCTACTGTATAAAGTGCTCAAAATCACAAAAGCGAGTTGCACAGCATCTCGTAGTATGAAACCCAGATGATGAGAGAGAGTTGAGGGAGGGTGAGTAAGAGGGAGGGAGGGGAATATTACCTTTAGGTGGCACTGTTGTTCTGTATGGCATATTCTGGGTATGGGCCAACATGCAGTGTGTGTCTGTAATGCATGGGGAAGAAGTGGGGAGCAGTCACTCGTTCTCTCTCTGTTTCTCTCTCTCTCTCATTCACTCTCTTTATCTTTCACTCACTTTTCTTCTCTCTCTGTCTCCTTGCCTTTCCCTTGCCCTTTTGTCTGTCTGTGTGTGTGTATGGGAGCATTTCTCTCAGTAAACAGCTCATGTCTAATGATGGACTGAATACACAACAGATTGGTAATGGCTGTTAGAGATGTGTAAGATAAGGTCTGACCGTTGGAGAACAAACACATACACACTTGTTTACTTTTTGTTACTTTATTTATTAATGTTTTTTAAGTTGTTCATGGATGTTTTTTTTCCAGTTGAAGACAGAATTTTGTGCTTTTATTTATATATGTATTTTTTATTTAAATGTAAATCTTTTTACCTTATTCATGAATTAATTTTGTTTTTCTTATTAATGAATGTTGAGGATATTATAAGCTCATTTCTGAGGAGAGTTTTTGTTTTTTATTTTTATTTTTACTTTATGAATTATGAATTTTTTTTTTAGTTCACTTATGGCCGTTTTCCAACTTCTGGCAAAGTGTAGCTACAGTAAGTAAACACACACAAGTCTGCATATTTGCAGATTGAGCGTGTGGAGGATTATTTATAGTTTCCTTAAGCGTGAAAGCTGTACAAACAATAGCTTGTCTAATATTGTTTTCCGGGCGGCTGCGAGTCTGGAAGATGGGGGCGTCTGGGTTGGCTTGCTCTTGTGTGGGTGGTCCAGATCGCGGACATGCATCGGGGTAGGCCACACAGGATATGACCCTTCTATAGGTTACACTGCAACTCATCCCATTCCCCTTCCAAATGAAAACATCAAACGAGTGTGATGAATGCATTGAAGCATTCAGGTTTTTCAATGAGATTTTGAATATGCACAGCAATTCTTTGCATTCTCTTTCCTTCTCCCTGTCTAAGATTTGCATTGTAGGGAGAAAGAAAGGAGCACACCAATGTAGAACGACAGATTACATAATGAACTGCAATCCAGGCCAAGAGAGCGGCCTATGCAGCAACTTTCCTATTGGGAACCATGCTGTCGTGCTGTACATGCCTTAACAAATTACTCAGTGACCCAAAACAATAGCCGCCACTGTAAGTGCAAAGACAGATGCCTGTCAACGCAGTAGATGGATTGTACCACTGTGAAATGCACTGTTCGCTCAGTCCAGAGGGGTCTGTGTTTGAACAGGGGTTGCCCTTTGTGTCTCTGTCTCAATCCTTTAAAGGCCATTGACTGTGCATTTTCTCTCTAAAGCTCATAGATACTGGGGCAGCCTCCATGCAGAGCTAGTTAGCATAGCTAGAGGCACATCAGTGGCAAGCTTATTATGGCACCCAAAACCTCTGCTGACAGCCATAGGGCAATTAACACTTGGCCTTTCTGTTCACCGACTGAACTGAAGCAGTGCAAACAACAATAAGCACATGCAAACTTGCCTGATAGTTAAGGGTGCAGCAAACATGACCATTTTCGTTCTGCTTGGCCGCAGTGCAATGAAAAAAAAATGTAGGTGGCTGTGTAAAACTACTTTACTCACCCACATGTCATTCCTTTATGCATTTCTTCTGTGGAACACAAAAGGAGAAAAGTCAACTGGGTACAATGTTTTTTTTTGTTTTTTTTTTGCATCCCAACATTTTTCTACACAAGAAAGAAAGTCATACAGGTTTGGAACGACTTAATTGTGAGTAAATGATGACAGCATTTTTCATTTTGGGGAGAACTGTCCCTTTAAGACTAAGCAGAGGCATTAGTTGCATGAGCGATTCATTGGGTGAACGTTAATGCATTTATCCAAAGCAAACTTGCATTGCATTCAAAGCTTACAATTTGTCAGTTCATGCATTCCCTCAAAATTCCCTCGAAAACTCATGACCTTGCTAGTGCCATGCTCTACTCTTTAAGCCATAGAGACTTGTCAAGTCACATAATTACTAGTCTTGAGCCAAAATAATTAATAAGTGCAATAATATGTTCTCTCGACTTTCCAATCGTTTCTACGCCGCTTCTGATAATATGTATTGTTGGAAAATTTCCACTGTGCATCCAGGAATCAATGTGTATCATTCCTTGCCCATTTCTCTGTCACTTTACTATGTTTTTTCAGAGTGAAATTCAATAATATAACAGATACAAAATCGCTCACCTTCCAAAGAACTCGTTGATGAACAGCATTTACTGCAAAATAATCTGAGTAGGCCATTTATTTCTCATTTGTAGTTTTTTATTTTATTGCATGGGGCAAACACACACGCACACATCATGGTTCAATAGCTTCTCAGGATGGAGGCGCATTAAAAAGTCTATTACGAAGTGCATGAAACATTTAGGTTATTGATTAAGTGTGCATGCATAATGTGGAAGACTCTGCTCTGGGAAAGCTCCTCAACAAGCCTGATTAATAAACTCAGTTGGAGAAATTAAACTGGGAAGTGACTGCTCATAACAAACCAAACTCATACAAGCATTTATAAGAGCATTTGCGTTGCGTATAAGAGCGTCGAGTTTCTGCTCATACTCATACTTTCTCAGATTTCACATCAAGAAATTCACTTACATCACGTCAATCAGATTCAGATTTCTTATCAGATTTTTTCCCATAAATATAGATTCTTAGAAAGCCTCATTCATATGTATAGGAGCCCTGAGAGCAGGCTAACAGCTCTACCGGTGAGTGCTAGCATTAATGACTTGCAATTATTCCAAAGTGATGCGGTTATTCCGTTTGGTTTAGGAAGCAATCAGACCCGTGAGATTCCGTGGGACTGTTTTTAGAGACCAGATGATTGTCTCTCATGCACTGTTGCCGAGCTTTCCTCTAATCTGGCAAAGCAGAGCGCAGTCAAGTCTTTCCCACTGTCACATAATAGAAGGAATCTGTACGCATCGCCTTTCCTGAGAGTCTCAACGAGTTAAGACAAAACCAAAATGGAACAAAAGTGCCTGGTTGCTGACTTGAATTGCAACATTGAGTTTTAAGAGATTGCACATGCATCAGGCTCGCGCTCCACCATATGTGAGCTAGACAAAGGTTACTAGCGAGGGCACGGAGCGAATAATATGTGGAATGAAGAGATGTGTGTGTGTGTGTTCAAGCCTCTCTCGAGTGGCTTTATGCTTCAATGAATGGACATCCTAATGCAAACAGTAGAGACTCGAGACGGTACGGGGGAAGGCGGTAATAGACTCTGCATTGTGATAGTGAAGGGCCGGGAGGGAGAAGTTCTTTCTCCACAGGTTCATTTGCCACATTAATAAGGGATTAGCATGGATGGGGCTCCCAGGATCAGGGCCTGAAGTTTGAGAACTCTGACAGGCTACATGACTACAACTCTGCCTTTCACTCCTTCTGATTTTTATTTCCATATTTTTCTTTCTCATACACATATTTACATCGATCGGCATTGCATGATTCCTAATTATATATAACAAAGAATATGAACAAATTATTAAACCCTATCATGATAACACCAGACATCTCTGCTTATTTCATCTAACGGTGTCTACATTCTGCAATTTTTAATACATTTGGGTAACGACTCACACAATATGAAATGGCCAAAGTAGATACGGTGGAAGAAAATGTTTCTTGACTAGTTTGTGATGTTCTGGACACTTTTTCATTTTTGTCAAGTCACAAGCAAAAGTCAGCACCATTCATCATAATTTCATTTCATAAAGCAAACTGATTGATAAGAGATGGCTCCCGGATCCGCTCTGTGATCTCTGACAGGCTACATGACTACAACTCTGCCTTTCACTCCTTCTGATTTTTATTTCCATATTTTTCTTTCATTCTCATACACATATTAACATTGATCGGCATTGCATGATTCCTAATTATATATAACAAAGAATATGAACAAATTATTAAACCCTATCATGATAACACCAGACATCTCTGCTTATTTCATCTAACGGTGTCTACATTCTGCAATTTTTAATACATTTGGGTAACGACTCACACAATATGAAATGGCCAAAGTAGATACGGTGGAAGAAAATGTTTCTTGACTAGTTTGTGATCTTCTGGACACTTTTTCATTTTTGTCCATATGTTTTCACACTGTTTCAAATGCTCACCTGAGGTACAGTAGGGGTTCATCTTATGTGCACCTGTTCATCTCAACATTTTTGGGACAGAAGACACACGCCCCACACGAACACCACTGTACACTCTTAACAGTAAAGGTTCCTGTTTGAACCATGAATGGGTTTAGATCCTGATGC